GGAGGACTGGCTTGATAAACCACTCAGATTGGAGATTCGGGCTGTCAACATGACACATTACTCGTTCTCTGCTGGGCCAGCTGGGTCAGCTTTCCAGACCAAGACTCTTCTCTACGCCTCCAACGATGCGGTTAGTTGGGGTTTCACAGGTATGCCGCTTTCTCTTTCTGAATCAAAGCTTTCGCTGATAGCTCAACAGGTGTATTCCTCGGGGTGTATTCGACTAGCAACGGGAGGACAGGAAATACGCCTGCTTATATCTCAAACTGGAATTACACCCCCGAGGTGCAGTTCAGAGATTGAAAATCACCAACCAGATCGGACTTTTCAAAAGTTGGATATGTTTAAAAAGGAAGCTACAAGTAGATTCTCTGTACTGGTCCTTGTACACAGCAATCTTTCCAAACTCTCGTTCTCTTCGGTGATCAAGATCGCGGGTACACATTCACGTCAGCAAACTGACCCGGTGAATCATATACTTTCTCTGGCAAAATACAACAACAACGGCAAGATGGCCGAGCGGTCTAAGGCGCTAGCTTCAGGTGCTAGTCAAGTAATTGGCGTGGGTTCGAATCCCACTCTTGTCATTAAGTTTTGCTGATGGAGATATCATCGAGGTATGACATGCCTGGGGGCCGAAAACATTATATTCCCCTTAACGTTCACAATGATATCTATGCCGGGATATTACAGCACCCCATGCCTACCTTGAAGGATTGGATGTTCTATTTTGGTCTCTTGACCGCCTCCGATTTGAGTATATGGGGTGGTTAAGTACGACCTTGCCCATATTGTTCTCTAGCGGCCGCGATGGTCACGATTGTGGGACTACTCCATGATATGTTTCTTAAGGAAACAGTGTGGCATGCCCACGTCTAGATGTATGTTCAACATAAGGATGGCAGGAGCTGGCTCATAGAGAGTGTCGACACTTTCTTTGCATAGGCTGCTAACGTCATTAAGAAGCAATAGACAAGAGTAGAGCATCTGCAATTCCCTGGCTTTATTCGAGATTGACGCTTCGGCACACATGAGTCACTCAGCCGCTCGCGACCAACGAGCAGTTGGTCCGACGTGAGAGTCACCTCCACGTCCTCGGAGCAGCACTCCATGTCGCTCGTCGAGCAACTCCGAAGACGATGAAGGAAAGATATCACCAAACAACAGGCCAGCATGCTCAAACAGACAGTAATTCTCATAGTCCATGTTTATTGTTTCTACATGGGTGTACATAGTACAGTCCTTCCTAATCTAGCAGGTTCATCAATCAAAGTGAAGGTTAAGGGATCTATTGATATCCAGGTTAGCTAGTGCTTTCGTGCTAACAAGCGCTTAATTAAGTTTTGCTTCAAAGCTACATTCAGACTGTTGAGCTTGATAAATTGAATCAACATAGTATATTCTGTTGGCCGTTCTTAATGGAAGAGTTGATCATCAACGTAGCAACCCGCGATGGAGTCAAATTTGTTAAGAAAAAATGAGATCAAATGCTTACCGAGCAGGGAAAATTCTGTGAACAGAATGTAGTGAAGTGAGTAAAAATTCGAGGTAAAGCCCTCATGTCGCCTGAAGGCAGGATGCGCAGGAGATACCATGAACGATTTGAGTACTCTGATACAGTCGACCATTGAGATTCTCAAAAGAGATCGATACTCGGTTTGGTTCGTCCTTTATATCGAAGTGAGGAAAAAAGCCGCGACTGGAGAGAGACAGAAAAGATTTTTGTAGTCAAGGTCTCGGTGGTGCACGGCCCATGCGGAACGGGCTCGCTTACTTCAGATGATGGGGACAGTTGAGTTGAGCCTTAGGCAGATGGCGGCTCCCCATCAAGAACTGTTTAGCTGCATCTATCCCTCGAAACAAGAATCACCCCGCTATTTATGCCAGTATCTACCGTATAGCACTTGCACAATCGCATGCTGACATTCGAAGCGGTTGCCCAGTAGGTTACAGGTGTCAGAAGTTCAGAACCCCACCATTAATACTGGGCACCCAAACCCAAAGACCAGGTAGGCACTGCCCTATGCCTAAAACCAGGAAGTTGCCCGACAGGTGACGTTAGGTACCTGACCACAGTGACCAAGTGCCCAAGCACACAAGGCAAGGTACCTTAGCCTCCCGCCTTCCATTGCGTGTGTGCTGTGCGCCGCGCCCCTGCCATTCGATTGTGTTAGTCCCCCCTCTTTGCCCACCACCCCTCCTTCGTTGCTCAGCCTGGCGACCGGCGAAAGCTCTCCTCCGACAAAAGTCTCGATCGCTTCAAACCCACCGTAAACAAACCGACCCCTCCTTCCGACCCGAAACCCCCTCGTCTTCAACACACCTATCCCCTTTCCAAATCAGACAAAATGGCGAACAGTAAGTCTGTTGTGCACTCAACCGTCCCCGTCACTGCTGTAGCTGTTGTCTTTGCGCGTGCGCTCGCTCTGTGTGCTGCCCCGCATCTCCATGATGTTTTCGTCCTTTTTTTTTGCGCTTCATCAGACCAAGAAAATAGATAGATAGCTAACCGATGCCTTTTCGCAGACTTCGAGGAAATCGCAAGTAAGTGTTTCCATACTCGATAGCCGAGATAGCCCGCACCGCAATGCCGTTTGCTTGCCCTTCTTCGACAAAGAAGACACTGACGGCCTCCACAACGCAAACAGAGCAGTTCATCGAGTTCTACTACAACCAGTTCGACTCGGACCGCAAGGGACTTGCCAGCCTCTACGTGAGAAATCTACTGCTACATAGTCATCCGGGCATTCACTGACAACGATAATAATAATAGCGGGAGCACTCTATGCTGACTTTCGAGTCTGCTTCTTCCCTTGGTGTCAACTCCATCGTTGAGAAGCTCACCGTGTGTACTCCCAAAGAGAATGCGCAAATTCAATGCGCCGCCTGCAGTCCCCTCACTGACCCCTTTACAATAGTCCCTCCCCTTCGAGAAGGTCAAGCACCAGGTCACCACCCTCGACGCCCAGCCCACCGCTGATGGCGGCATTATCATCCTCGTCACTGGCCAGCTTCTGGTACGTATATGACATGCCCTGCGGCTGTTCCACCGTTGCAACTCTTTATCTAACCCAAGAAAAATAGGTCGATGAGGAGCAGCGCCCCATGAACTACACTCAGGCTTTCCAGCTTCTGCGTGATCCTGCCTCTGGCAGTTACTTCGTCTACAACGACATTTTCAAGCTTGTCTACGGTGCATAATTCTCCACGCACTCTAGGAGAATACGATTTGATGAGGCCTAATATCTGATTTCGAGGGACCGGGCATGGCTTAAGGCAGGATAAAAGAATCTCTGTCTCCTTCGATTTCTCATTCCCATGAATCTACGCCGGGTTGAGGCGAGCACGTTGGCAAGGATACCATTTCACGTTTCCAGGAATCCCAAGACGGCTCTGTTCATACATGGCTCTTTAGAGAACTGGGAAAATACCCCTATTATTATCACATGAACTCAAAGACCTATTACGCCCCTTGATATTCTTGTATGACTTTGTGGCCTTGATTTTGCCTGTCATTCCGTTTCCTGCGCCTCGCATAAATTTCAGTACAAGAATGGAAACCCGAAGATGGAAATCAAACATCGCCCCTCAAAGGCTATCTTCAGACAAGTGGTCACCGTATCTAGACGGCACCATTGGTGTTACATCATCATCCCTTTGCCGTTCTTTCCACCCTCAACGGACCTGCATGTGGGCGTCTCCGCTGTCACGGAACACGAGCTGAGCGTGTTGACCGCGGACGATCTCCTCTTCCCCACCTCCCTTCTTGATAATGCCGTTCCGAGTGGCACCCGGGCCCATGGTTCCGAACCCAAGGTCGCGGATACGGCCACTCGCGATGTCGAAGATGCAGCCGTGGACAGTCATGCCTCGCTCTTTGATAGCCTCTTGAACGGTGAAGTTGGCCATGAGCACATTGACACCAGTCTCGACGTTCATCTCTGCGATACGGACAGCCTTGCGGTCCTCATTCTTGATGGCGTCGAGCTCCTTTGCGTTTTGAGCGCGGACTGTCTTCAAGGGAGTGAGCCAGGTATCGAGCACGCCTCCGACACGGGAGTCGCCCAACGCCGCCTTGGCACCGCCGCAGGCTGAGTGACCGCAGAGCACGACGTGCTTAACCTTGAGGTGGGCAACAGCGTACTCGATGACGGCCGAGGTGTTGATGTCTGTGGGGGCTACGATGTTGGCGATGTTGCGATGGACGAAGACGTCGCCGGGTTGGAGACCCAAGATTGTTGTCTCGGGAACACGAGAATCAGAGCATCCTAGCCACACTTTGTGTCGACATGCGTTAGCATCAGAGCTTAAGGAGGACGCTGGCATTGCAGATGAACTTACAGATTGAAGGCGACTGCCCCGAGGCAAGGTTCTTGAAGAACGCAGGATTCTGGTGTGATTTGTACCCAGCCCAAGCTTGGTTAGAGCTCAGGGCATAAAGGAACTTGTTCTCTTTATCCATGACGATGGAATGTCAGCATGTTGTCTTGAAGTAGGACTATTTGCCCAGGGAGGTGAGATTGTCGGGTACTTACGGTCATGGAAAGCCATTGTGATCGAATGTACACTGACGCAGCCGGACTCAATGTAAGAGCAACGCTGCGGGGTATCTAGATGAATTCGACTACGACTCGGTCGATAGTCGGGAGGACGCAATAGCTGATTCTAGTGTGCAAGCAGGAAAGTATTACGTGTTGCTCCTGTGTCCGGATGCTGTGTGCAGGCAACCTGGCTGAGACCTGCCCAGCTGCAGAGATAGTAATGATATATGAGACCCTTGATTGACGCTCGTTTCTGCTGCGAGGTAGAGAAGCCGGGCCGGTTCACTACTGGAAAGGAGGAGCTGATTTCTGACTGTACACACAGAGCACGACAGACGTCAAAGTTGTCGGACGTCCTTGGCTACGAGGTAGGATGCCGGGTCAACGTAGGTCGGAACACAAGGCCGCAGAATCGAATGTATGACAAGTGACTTCCTGTCTCGGCCGACGGTATGCGAGTTAAGCTGGTTGGGAGGGACTTTGGAGTCTGAGATCGAAGATGACGGTGGTAGTGGTGTTGGCCAACGCCGAATGCCGTAGTGTAACCTGGGGTTTTCGCGGACTGGTCGTGCCACTTGAGTATAAGCAAGATGTATTGAGCTAGTGATGCGTGACGAGAACAGGCATATGCAAAGAGATTCCGAGCCTTCAGCGAAGGAAGCAAGGATGATAATAGATAGAGGGGAAAGAGGGACGATCCAATGAGCTGAGTGAAGGAGAGTATGTGTGTGTGTGTGTGTGTGTGAGAGAGAGAGAGAATTTGTGTGTAAGAAAGTGTGGTATGTGAAGGGCGAACCAACCTATTCCAGAAAACTTGCGTTGAGATGAGCAGAGACTTGTGGTTGAGTTGGAGAGGGAGCGCCGAGGGAATGGTTGATCCAATGAGAGATGGTGTTGTTGAGACAATGTAAATGAGCTTCAAGATCAAGCTGAGCTGAGAGAATGGTAGTATCAGACAACGTAGTGGGCAAGCGAAATAGACTCGAGATCCTGCAGTAGGCTACATGCAGATATCATAAGATGTAAGGCCATGAGCACGCGGGGGGGCGAGACATGGAGGATATTATAAGTAGTATGGCGATGCATACTTGGGCGCTACCATACATGGAGTCGATGCATGAGACGAGAGCAGAGAGACACAGACAGACGGAACACCCCCCGGGTACCACCCACAATCCTCTTGGCCGGGACCATGACCGTGACCATTTGGTGGAGAGCTCTCCGCACCTGGAGACAGAGCCAAACACAGAGCCAGACAGAGCCAAGACTTTCGGACGAGTCGCCCCAGAGATTGACGGTGCCACACCCCGGGCATCACCAGGGACAAGTACACACGGCAGAAGACAGAAATAGGGTGGGGGGGGAGGGGGAAATGGGAGACGGGAGAGAAAGACGGAGGGAAACTTGGGAAGAAGACACCATACCCCGGTCACGTCTTTGCGATGCGCACTATTTCGGGGTTGTGACCTGTGACTTGGGACGTTTGCGCTATGCCTCCGGCTAATCCACCACCCTGAGGCGGTGCGGTGTCCGCATGGCAATGGAAAGCATGGCCAGTGTTCACGGCATATGTCCTGGCTGCTATTCTTTAAAGGACGGTTGTGTATAACAGAATCGGACTGAATCTAATCGATTGAAAACGCTAGCGAGGGCGCGCAGTGTATTATTGTCTCCGGCCACCGAGTGGGGGCTGAAGGACCGTCTCCGTGCGATGATCAGTCAGGCCCGGCCATCTCCGTCGGTCGGGCACTTATCTCCGTTCCAGCCCACTTGGGTCGTGGAGAATCTGACCGAGCCGCTGACAAGTTGAACTGTCCCTTTGACAGACAAGGGCAGTACCATAGTGAACCTTCCGTCTCTAATGCGCGGCCGCGGAATATGATCCATGCTCTCTGTCTTTGGGGCTACCAGAAGCCATAGGGAAACAGTTGAACCAAGAGCGACTCCCGGCTGTGAAACAGTGCTTGTCAGTGTCATCCCTCACAACACTGCCGTAAAGGCAAGGCATCCTTCGCAATCCCAATCCTTCCCTCGCTGATCTCCACGGTGTGATCGACGGTGATCTGACAGATTGGGTTCATGTCGCTATCTCAATCATAATGCAGACAGGACTGTTTACCAATGAGAAGGAGTATCGAGAGTCGAAGTTGTTGACCAGTTGCTCATCAATCCACAAGGAAACTCTTGGTTCACAGGAAGAACCAGTGAGGAAGAGAAATGCAACTAAGCTTTCTGGAAGAGGAGAACGGTATTTGGTGGTTGCTTACTAACCTAAAGCAGTTTAGCCAGCCAATGTAAGCTCTCATTGAATGTATGCGTGACAGCGTGATAGGTGCCGGGCGGGCACTCCCTCATGTTTCCCTCTCCTCTTCATAGGTAGGCTTACCTTTTTTTTACACCCCACACAGATTATAAGCCGCCGGGGCAATGGCCCGGTCGTATGAAGAGACAAAAGTCAACCTGACCTACGCAGAGTTGTAAATAGGCTGAGCACGTCCAGAGCTCGGGTCGCACTCGCAGTCGTGCTCTTTGGATGGACAGGGACATCTCTGTGCCCGAAGTGGAAGCATATGGGTACACGAATGCCAAGAAATTCAGAACGTTTTCGATATCGCGGCCACGGCGACTTTGGAGTCTGAGGGAAGAACAAAAAAGGGGGGGAGGGGGCCTCTCCCATAGATAACCCGGGCCGGGGCCATTCCTACCATACCTACAGCTTCGGGGCCTGAGACGGCAAAGCACACAACAAATGTAAAGCTGGCCCCGGGTCTGCATCCGGTCCAGGTCGCCCGACAATCATGGAATGCGCCGTCTTCCACGAACATTCGACAAGCGGGCGGGATGAGGATAGTTGCGGACGTGAAGGAAGAAAGAGCCAGCGAGAAACAGGGCTGTCTGTATTTACCAATCTGGGAAGATTGCTCAGCCCAGAATACAAAACGCGCAATGCACCACAAGGTTTACCGGCTTGGCGTGCAGCAGCTCTTCAGCGTTGCACGCGTGCAGAGGCCCTCAGGTTACCATACCGCAGCTATAATGAGAGCATGTTCTCAGACTTGGTTCTTGGCACTTTGTTGAGGAACCCAAATTTTTGCATCATCGTACGGTATTTCGATGGTCGATCTGGAGCACTACCGCACTTGGACCCTTGCGCCTCTCTCTGGGTTTCTCATCAAGTTGTGGGACCCCTGTCGTCGATCAACCCCACAGCCGACTATAGCTGGTTGTTTGTTAATTACTAATGTACACTCGTTCTACAGAGTGGTCCTGTAGTATCTCACGCTGTCGCATCTCGCCATATGCGACTTGCCAAGACTTTTGAGAGAAAGGCCTTCGGTAAATACAGAGTAGACTACGGCATCCATGGACGGACATACCCGTCCGTCATAATAATGGGTTGACTTGGCCTTTGTATGACTGCGCCGTGAGCCCATGGCAGACTGCCATCAGATAAGACTTGACAACTCCACAATCCACAGGAAGGGCTTCAGTAGTCTTTAATTTCCTTACAGAAATGGGCTTGAGTTATTCGCAAAAAGACTTAGCCACCGGTATCTTTACAACCCACCAACTGTCAAGTTTCACATCATTGCTGAGAATTTGGCAGGATTGAAGAAAGCGACATGTCGGATTGGGAGTAAAAGGGTCGGGAGGTCACCATGTCATGAGAGCAAAACATGAACTTGAAACCCAATAGAATAATCCCGACGCCATGCCAAATTTTTATGATCCGATAGCCTCCAGTGGCCTAGTCTCCTAATACACTAAAGTAGTCCGGGTATTGTTCCATCTTAGACCTTGATGGCGTTGTCAAGAGCCTTCTGCTTCTTCTCGGTGCGCTTCTGGGCCTTAGCACCCATGATACCACCACCCCACTGCTTGCGAGCGCTGTCGGTCTTCTCCAAGTATCCGTCCTTGATGGCGGAAACAAGCTTGGAGAGCTCGCTCTTGTCCTCGGAGCGGACCTCGGTGAAAGCGAGGACAGCAGCAGTCTATGATCAGTCAGTAAGCCGCAACAACAACATCTGTGACAACCGAGTAGACATACCTTCTTGTGGACGACGGTTCCGAGGCGGGCCTTGCCCTTGATGATGGCGAAGGGGACACCCATCTTGCGGCAGAGGGCGGGGAGGAAGATAACCAACTCAATGGGATCAACATCGTTGGGGATGAGGACGAGGGAAGCCTTCTTGTTCTCGATCAGGCCAACAACGTGGTTGAGACCGTACTTGACAGTGTAGGGCTTCTTGGAGACGTCCTCCTTCTTCTTGCCGTCCTTGACGGCGGTGGCCTCCTTGACGAGACGCTCCTTCTTCTCGGCCTTGGTCTCAGGGCGGTACTTGTTGAGGAGCTTGAAAGCCTGGGCGGCAGTGTTGCGGTCGAGGACGTGCTGGAACTGGGCGATCGCAGGGGGGACCTTGAGGCGCATGTTCAAGATCTTCTTCTGGCGCTGAAGACGGACATACTCGGGCCACTTGACCATGCGGGCCAAGTTGCGACGGGGCTGGATGTCCTGGCCGATGCCGAAGTTGCGGGGCTTGCGCTCGATGAGAGGGTTCTGCGATCATTGTCAGCCATCTATGGAACTGCGCGCGCAATCATGGAGAGAATATGTACTGACCTTAGGAGCCTTCTTGGAGCCAGCCTTTCCCTGAGGGAAAGGGGCGGGAGCCACCTTCTTACCGGACTTGGGAGGCTATCATTGAGAAAGCAAGACATCAGTGAATTGTTCAAATCAACTTGTGTCTTCCTTTAACTCTAAGGAGAAGGACGGAGAAGCATTGGAAGTGAATCCAACACTTCACCATCCTTTCCAGCCAAATCATCATCAACGGCCCGTCCCCGCAAGCAAGCTAGCTAAGGACCGACGACCGAGACGGAAAATCGCAGTTCGCATAGCAGCGAAACTGGATGGAGATTGGCCTCGAGGGCAGATGAAGTCGTCTTCGTTCAATTTGTACTCACCATTTTGTCGGTTGTCGTGATACTGCCTTTGGCGGGGATGGATGAAGAGAAGGTCAATATGCAGAAACACAAATTTCGGGAGACGAGGATAAGACGTTGTTGGTGTGGGCGCGAAAAATTTGGATTAGGGCAAGATAGGGTGGGTACCCGATAAGAACATTTACAACATGGTCGCGTATCTGCACCGTACTGCAGGTGGGGAACCCGCACCGCTAGTCTTATCTCCACGTGATGATCGCTTTCCGACGATAAGTGACCTGAAGGCTTGAAGTTAGGTAGGTAGGTACTTTAGGTAACAAAGGAGTGCGCGGAACAGCCTTAACAGTGACGACAGGGTAGTCGACCCCACTACGAGGGATGATGGAATGTCACTTTTGCGCCAGACAAAATAGTTCACAGAGACCCGAGCACCTGATTGTTGGTCATCTTGTTCACCACGATTGGACCGACTCTTAAAGTACCCACGACAAGTATTTACGCCCATCCTGAATCAATCTTCTGCTGGCATAGGTAATTACCCGTTTGGCAGCTCAAGCGTGCAAGCTAGCAGGCAATGCAAAACGGAGACAGCAGTATCAATACGAATAAGATCCTCGTCTCTTGTTTCCTCATAAAACCCAGGCTGACAGTCTTTTTTATTCCTGGTTCACTCAGGAGGGATGCAAAGTTGCTGGAGCAGACGATTGTAATGCATGGCAAAGCGAACGAGGAGTATTTAACAGAGAAATTCCCGTCCCATCTCTGCACTAAATGACAGTACCCGTGTGGTAGGTATCTTGCCCACTAAGTGATGGAAGATCCAGGCACGGAATTCCGCGTTGCGGTACGTACCTATTGCACCGACGATGATGACTCCAAGGTCATCAAAGCGACACGGCGACACATGCTATTCTTAAATTTTCCTTAACTTCGATCTAGCAACAACAAATTCCTTTTCTGATCCGACCCCCTAGACCACTCTTCCCCCGGAATACATGTTACGTGGAGAAACACAAGCCCACGTTCACTGCGTTCTCGACTTTCCGGTTCAGCTTAATTTTATCCTGTCCGATCCACCGCGAGGTGTCAATTTCGAAGTTCGTCGATTCAACTGAGGCGACGGTTTCTCCAGCGCGAAGTGGCGCTAAACCTCTGCCGCCGACACGACACTATTTCTCTGGGACGCCTCTCGTATCGCTGGGGACCTACTTATTCCTTCCTCGTGGTGCAGCAATCAAAATGGCACCGGTACTATGCGCAAA